TTCTTCTTCTTCTTCTTCTTCTTCTTCTTCTTCTTCTCCTCCTCCTCCTCCTCCTCTTCTTCTTCTCCTCCTCCTCCTCCTCCTCCTCCTCCACCTCTGCTTCCCTCCCTGTTGAGCCACAACCATAGCCATAGCGATTTTTTTTATTTTATTTTTTTCATATCGGATTCTTCTTCTTCTTCTTCTTCTTCTTCTTCTTCTTCTTCTTCTTCTTCTTCTTCTTCTTCTTCTCCTCCACCTCCTCCTCCTCCTCCTCCTCCTCTGCTTCCCTCCCCGTTGAGCCAGAGCCATAGCCATAACCATTTTTCTTCTTTCTTCCGTATCAGATTCGCCTTCTTCTTCTCCTCCTCCTCCTCCTCTTCTTTTTCTTTTTTTTTTTCTTCTTCTTCTTCACCCCCCATAGCCAAACTTAAGGCGTCTCAAAACCACAACCTTCCACACTTTTTTTTTTTTTTCTTTCCCTCCACATACCGCGGGCGACAGCATGGCAGGTGATGGCAGTGGTGGGGCTGAACCATTGAGACGCAGGCTGGGCACCGCTGGTGCAGACAAAAGGAAAGGCCATGTGTTAGATGATACTGACAGGACTTCCTCAAGCAAGACGGCGCAGTCCACCACAACGGCCGTCAACAAGGACGCAACACCGGGCACTGACCCTGCTCTCTTTCAACCCCAGGGCGGCAAGGCACATGAGAAGCTACTGAAGAGGAGTTCAGTGTGGCAGTGGGTTGAACAGGGACAAGAGGCTTTGCCGGCAGGCTGTGGGGAGTACTGGCTCAGGTGCCGCCTATGCTCCACCATCTTCAGGGGCTCGTCGATGAAGGCGGTTCATCATTTCCTGAAACCGCAGAAACCGTGTCCTTTTCGAACAGGGGAGATCGTCGATGAGCTTGTGAGCAACCAGCGTGGCAAGGTGAAGTCCACCGACAAGAACACTCGTTACTTGTTGAAGAATGCCAGGGGACTAGCCAGGTGTGCAGAGGGGGGTGAGGAGCATGTGCAGAGTGAATCTGATGCTGAGGATCCTTTGTCTGAGGCGGTGCCACCACCTCTACCGGGGAGGTATGCTCCACGACTAGCTGCTCAGACTCCTGCCACGAACGGTGAGGATGGGGAGGAGGGTGATGAGGTCCCTAGCGAAGCGCAGGTCTTTGTCAAGCCTGTCATGACCAAGCAAACCACAATCAAGAAGTGGATCGACAATCAAGCTCGGAAGGAGTTGGACATTGCCTGAGCGGAGGCAATGTTCAGGGCGAGCATTCCTTTCAACTTCATAAACTTCGACACCACGCAAGCTTTGCATGAAACATACCTGAAGGTTGCAAGTGTAAGGCCAAAGGTCAAGTTGCCTTCCTACAAACACATGCGGACTGTCATGGTTGATTACATCTACCTGAAGGTGCAGAAAACAATCAACCCCATGACTGCATGTTGGGACACAACCGGCTGCACATTCATCACCGACGGGTCCACAGATCGCAAGAACCGGCCGGTGATGAATTTCCTTGCAGCGGGGGAAAAATGAGCAGTTCTGGTCACGACAATGTTCATGACGGGGAGGAAGAAGAACGCAGCAGCATTGGCAAAGTTGTGGGAGCAGGTGATGCGTGAGATAGGGCTTCAACGGATCAACGCGATATGTACAGACAATGCAGAGGTCAACAAGAAGGCGGCTCAGATCTTAGAGAGGCGGACCGACAAAGATGTCGCGAAGATACCGTGGGTGCCATGTGGAGCGCACTGTTCCAGTTTGTTGCTGAAGGACTTGAGCAATTTGCCATGGGTGAAGGACACGGTGAAGAAGGCAAACACGATTGTCAAATTCATAAGGAACCACCACTCTACGCACGACCTCATGATAACTATCGACGACTCCTTGTCATTGCTGCGCCCAACAGAGGTCCGGTTCGAGTCTGTGTATCAGATGCTGGGTAGGTTGGTGAACAGGGAGCACGTGCTGAATGTATGGTGGATGAGAATTATGGTGCGAGATGAAGGGCACTGAGGTGGTCCTCAACAAAGCTGCAAAAGAAGGCCGACCTCGTCTATTACTCATTGAGGTGTGAGAGTTGATGGGATACAGTGAAAAAAATTGTGGCCATCATGGACCGGTGTTCAGCCTGCTCAAGAGAATGGACATGGAAGGAGTGTCTCCCACCAACCTTGTGGAGTACGACGATCTCATTGCAAGGAGATTGACAAATGTCGTACTCACGAAGAAGGAGCGCGAAGACGTGATGGCGAAGGTGAAGGACCGCGTGCAGATGATGCGGCAGCCGGCACATGCAGCTGCCTTTCTTTTGGATCCACGAAGGAGAACCTGGCTGGCTCAACGATCCAGACAGTGCACTCGTGCAAGATGCAATGCGTTTCTTGCTGAGGCGGATTGGAGGGACGTGGGATTTTCAAAACACATTGACATGTGGGGGCATCTGTATGAGTTCTTGAGAGAGCCTGTGGAAGGTGAAGTCAGGAAAGATAAGCATATGTGGACCCCTCTTGCTAGAACGACAGCCACAGAACGTGTTCCGGTGGATTGGTGGTCGTTGCATGGTGGAGATGTTCCGAATTTGCAGGCAATCACCATCAGAGTGCTGGGAATGTGGAGCATAGCAACATCTGCGGAGCGAAACTCGGCATCGATGGACTTCGTCCACTCAAAGAGGAACAGCCTCTCACCGGCGTCCTTGAAAAAACTTGTGTACATTCATTGGAACATGCAGTTGCTTCGTGTTCGAATGAGCGAGGACAATGGCTACGTGGATGTATGGGGATCCTTCTTTGAGCCATTGATGGAGCCAACAGAGGAGGACCAATCTCTCGACGATGGCACAACAGAGAAGACGGTGGACGAAGGGGAGGAGGAAAAGAGGCAAAAGAGGCTGAAGAAGGCTCCGAAAGGACGGATTCCCCGCGACCTGTTGGATGAAGACTCAAGCGGGAGCAGCGAGCTTGAGGATCTAATATGGAAGGGGAAATGTTGGAATGAGTCTACTTCGAAAGAGAGCAGTGGCGAGGATGATATTGGTGAGGACTCTGACTTCGAGTTGGGGTTGTGCCAACGGTGCCAGCCACTGCTTACGTCGGTCGGATGCGCGGGAGGCGAGAGAAGGAGACAGAGGTGCAATCTTCAGAACCCGTGGAGAGAGTTGACACAGACATCGAGTTCTTGATGCACCGTGTCCTTGATGGTGACCGTGATGCGAACGAGGACGAAGCAGATCGGACAAAGGCTATGGCGGATAGAGATGCTGCCCTTGTTCAGATGCGGATGCTTGAGGAGGAGGCTCGGCATGCTGCTATCCCCACCAGGAGGGAGAGAGAGAGACAAAGCAAACAGATCAGCGAGCCGGAGGAGCATCAGGAAGAAAAAGATCAGCAGTAAGAAAATGAAAATATGCAGCAAGAGGGAGAGGCGCCCCACGGAGAGCAGCCCCAGCAACACCAAGGGGAAAAAAATCAGCAGCAGGAGGGAGTCGAGCTGCTGGAACATGCCGAAGAGAATATGCAGCGACAAGGAGAGGAGCCGCAGCAACTGCCAGCCATGGTGTATGCACGAAG